TTCCTCACTGCGCAGGGGAGAAGGGCTCTTCAGACAGAGGAGGCTGTTCCAAAACTCGGCCCCGTGGAGACGGGTGAAAGTTCGGAAAAGCCTCGTCCGACAAAACGATGAGAAAAAGGCGCAAGATGCAGAGCCATTTGGCAAATGTTTTCCCTGTAGAACTGGGTGGTCTAGGGGTCCCCTCCGAGAGAGCCCAGGACTCTCGGTTCCTCGCTGCTCTGCCTTGAGCCTTGAACTTCAGGCGACCCTCAGACCAACCATTGGGAATTCCTCCTGCCCCCCTGGCAGGGTCGTTCACTCACCGTGTGCTGGGGTGAGACGTCAGCGGGAGAGACGGACGGGGATCCGCCTCGTCCTGCGCCGTGGTCAGTTATATGGGGTTGGCTGGGCAGGCAGCCAGTGGGATACAGGATGTGGCACACGGCCAACAAAGCCAGTCACGGGGTTTCTAAGAGCGGGGAGTGAAAGGAGATCACCTGCCGGGGGTGGTGGAGAGCGGAGATGGAACCGGCTATGAAGTGCTGCTCGGCAGGGGCAAGCCAGCCACAGCGCTCCTGGAAGGTGACCTTCTGCGTGGGGAAGTTTTGCACCCATTGCTGGTCGTCCCACCGCTCCAGGACCAGCCCGTCCCACCACGCCGAGCTAGTCTCCAGCCTCCAGATTCTTCTGGGTATGGTGGGCCGGGACACTACATAAGAACATAAGAACGGCCGTACTGGGTCAGACCAAGGGCCCATCTAGTCCAGTATCCTGTCTGCCGACAGTGGCCAGCACCAGGTGCCCCAGAGAGGGTGGACCGAAGACTATAATCAAGCAATTTGTCTCCTGCCATCCCTCTCCAGCCTCTGACAAACAGAGGCCAAGGACACCATTTTACCCCCTGGCTAATAGCCTTTTATGGACCTAACCTCCATGAAATTATCTAGCTTCTCTTTAAACTCTGTTATAGTCCCAGCCCTCACAGCCTCCTCTGGCAAGGAGTTCCACAGGTTGACTACATGCTGAGTTGGGAAAACACCCCACCCAGGGCTCATAACCAAAGCCACAAGTAAACATCTCAGCTCATGTCGGTTGGGCACTGTCCTTTGCCCCTCAGGTTCTTACATCCTAACTAACAACATCCTAACAAAGGCTAACAACACATGTCGATGGGAAAATGAGCTTTCATGGGCCCAGCCCACGTCTTCAGATGCCCAGAGGGTTCATCTGAGTGTCCACGAAAGCTCACGATCCCGTCTACAAGTGTTCTTATTCTTTGGGGTGCTACAGGACTATTTGACAATTCACATAAGACAGAGGCACCTAAGGAAGCCTTCTTAGCTCCACTCTTTGAACAGTGGAGTAGGGGGAGAAACAGGTCAGACCAGTCCAGGCAGAGGAGCGAGCAAGATTTCAAAGGGCTGGTCATTCAATCAACTAAGGGCTCATCAGATCATCATGAAAACATGGCCAGGTCCCCCACTTGAGAGATGGGGGGAGGGTAGGAAGAACTAGTGGAGCGAGGTAACTAGTGGTGGGTTCCAGGGATCTGTAGTGGAACCAGAGCTGCTCAACGAATCATAAATGGTCTTGAATAAAGAGTAAACAGAGAGTTGGCAAAGTTTGCAGATGAAACAAAATTACTTAAAATAGTTAAAAGTTGCCTGGGCAGAGTTTACAAAGGGACCTCGCAAAACTGGGTGATTGGGCAACACAAGGGCAGATGGAAATCAGTGTTGATAAATGCAAAGTAACGCACTTGGGGAAATACAATCCTTGCTGTACAAACAAAAAAGATAAGGTTCAAATTAGCTGCCACCACTCGAGCGAGAGATCTTGGAACCGCTATGGTTAGTTCCCTGAAAACACGTGTGCATTGGCAGTCTGAAAGCAAACAGAAAATTGGGAATCCTTAGCGGACCACAAGCTAAATAGGAGCCAACACACTGTTGCAAAAAAAAAGCAAACATTATTCTGGGATGCATTAACAGGTGTGTTGTGAGCAAGACACAAGAAATAATTCTTCCACTCTATTATGCAAAGATTAAGTCACAATTGGAGTGTTGTGTGCAGTTCTGGGCACCACATTTCAAGAAATATGTGGGGAAATTGGAGCGGGTCTGGAGAACAACAACAAAAATGATGAAAGGCCTTGAAAATATGACCTCTTAGGGAACACTGAAAGGACTGGGTTTGTTTAGTTTGGAAAAGAGAAGACTGAGAGGAGATATGATAGCAGTTTTGAAGTACCTCCAAGGGTGTTACAAAGAGGCAGGACTTCTGATGATATGACAATAGGTAATGAGCTTCAAGAGTTGCAAGGGAGGTTTAGTTTGGACATTAGTAATAACTTCCTGCCTGTCAGGATGGTTAAACACTAGAATAAATTGCCTAGGGAGGTTGTGGAATCTTCATTATTGGAGATATTTATGAGCAGGTTAGATAGATGTTTATCAGGGATGATCTAGATGGTACTTGGTCCTGCCATAAAGGCAGGGGACTGGAGTCGATGGCTCTCGAGTCCCTCCCAGTTCTCGTGTTCTAGGATTCTGTGATTAGGAAAGGAATAGATAATAAGACAGAAAATATCAAACTGCCTCTCTGTAAAGTCCCGGCGCCCACATACTGTGTACAGACACGCTCACCCCATTTAAAAAGTTAAAAATTGGATTTGGAAAAGGTGCAGGAAGGGCCACTGAAATGAGGAGGGGTGAGGAACAGCTTCCATCGGAGGAGAAACTAACAAGACTGGGACTGTTCAGCTAGGACAAGAAATGACGAAAGGGCGGGATGGGGGGTGGGGGAAGGATTTGTTAGAGGGCTAGAAAATCAGGAATGGTGTGGGGAAAAGAGACCAAGGAAATGTTATTCATTCCAGCACTAATGGAGCACAGGAAAGCACACACAGATATGTACGGGCTGCAGGTGTTAAACAAACAAAAGGAACGATTACTTTATAGTCAACCTTTGGACTTTTTTTTGAGGAGCTGGGGAAAGGCCCAAACTATACAATTAGAACAGGGTTCCAGTAAGAAGTAGATGCAGCCACGGACTTACCCACTAGATCGGCCCATCAATACTTATTAGTCGGGCTGGGCAGGGAGGGTCCCTGGCCTTTGTGTGTCAGGGGCTGGGAATGGGTGACAGGGAGTCACTGGATGGTTCCCTGTTCTATTCCCTCCCTCCGGGCACCTGGCTCTGGCCACTGTGTGCAGACAGGACACTGGGCTGCATGGGCCTTTGGTCTGACCCCGTCTGGCCGCTCTGATGTCATCAATACTTATTAGTCGGGCTGGGCAGGGAGGGTCCCTGGCCTTTGTGTGTCAGGGGCTGGGAATGGGTGACAGGGAGTCACTGGATGGTTCCCTGTTCTATTCCCTCCCTCCGGGCACCTGGCTCTGGCCACTGTGTGCAGACAGGACACTGGGCTGCATGGGCCTTTGGTCTGACCCCGTCTGGCCGCTCTGATGTTCTGACATAGAACCCAGACGTATCTGCCCCTGCCCCACTTCGCTGTAACCCTTAGACCCTGCTGCCCTTCCTGACAGGGTCTGTCTCTCTCTCCAAAAAGTAAGGATTCCCATTACAATTTTAAGCCTAACCAGTGCCCCTGAAGTGACTGGCCACAGGCCGTCAGAGCACGTCGGGGGTAGAGCTGAGTGGGTCTCATGTTTATTTCCTTTCCTCTCTGTGATAACGGAATGAGATAACGTGCTCCTGCCAGCCAGTTGCCGTGCTACCTGCATTCTCAAGGGCCGTAGCGACCCCTGGGAAGAGATGTGGAGGGGGATGCATGGACGAGGTTATGTGGACACATCATCCCTCCCCCACCAAAATCTGAAACGACACCCGGGCCAAGCGGCTGGTGCATTCTGGT